GCGGTTAGTCGCTGGCTTTCCACAGCGGCGGCCCGGGTTCGATCCCGGGGGTCTGGTCAAGTGGGATTTGTGGTGGACAAAGTGGCGCTGGGGCAGGTTTTCTCCGAGTACTTCGGTTTCCCCTGCCAATCTTCAATCCACCAATTGCTCCACAATCACCCTCACCTATTATCTTGGGCTGGAACAATAGGTCAGAAGTGGCCGCAGTGCAAGGGACTTAGGCCCACCCCAGTAGCAATAAAAAAAACACCGTCACGCTACTTCTTGCCATATTTCTCCTCACTTGTCATGCCGAAACAGTGGAGAGATCTCAAAACACATCCCCCCCTCAGCTCCATGAAGTTAGTTTCGTTAGTATGTTTATGTCAAGTACTGAAAGAACCAAACGCCAACAAGTACTCGCAATTGAAGACTGAATATTAATCATACAGTGTAACCGAGCTGCTGTATGCCACATGTAAGGGCAGTTGTTTACCGGAAAAGATATCAACAGATTGGTTCGTCATTGCTGAACTCACAACTTAATGTTTATTTTCTGTGCCCAACGGATTTATTCAAGGAAATTTACTGTTTCAAGTGGGTACGAATGAATATCTTATTTTATTATAATTAGATCTATGTTATATATGACATTATTTTACCACTACCACTCGGCGCTACAGCCCTGGGTGAGCCTTGGCCTCCTCTACAACCAGTCTCCACTGCTCTCTATTCCTCCTTTCTCCTTCATCTTCTTCAGGTCGTTCTCAACATCGTCTGGCCATCTCATCCTGGGCCTTCCTTTTCTTCTTTTGGAATATAGCCTTCCTTTTAACATTCTCTTTGGCATTGCATTATCTTCCTTTCTTTCGACATGTCCCAACCATCTTATTACGATTTTACATTCATAAAATTAAACATTAGGACTTTCAATAAAAAACCCCCAAGATTATGGCTAAAATTAAAAGTAATTATAGTATAGAAATTACAGAGTTGTGTAAGAGGGATACAACGTGTGATAAAACACAAAGCTACATTGTACAATTACCTGTCCTGAAGCCTGTGCACTCTACATATCAGGGTACGCCATGATTTGTGTCGTACATAGTACGTAAGTACGTTTCAATTTCCCATCGGAATAATAATATCGGAAGCATGCTGAAAATGGAACAATGTCGAAACGATCTCCATTATTTATCTGATGACGATGCAGCCTGTCTCCCACAGTAGAACATTTACAGGCTAGGGAAGAAATAACTCTCGAATTTATGAAGACGATTGTTGATCGGTATGAAATACGCGGGAACATTGATCAAGCAGAACTCTGTCTGGGGCATATTGGCTCGAGTCTCTCAAGAAAGTGAGATGGACGCATAGACACTCTCACTACACCGACGAACACACGTTCCACTTACAAAATAAAAGTAAATATTTGACGATACACGAATGATAGACAGCCATTTCTTCTCTCTCCGGCTATATATCTCGTTCTACCAGCCTAAGTAAACACGTGTCGCTTCCGTGCAGGCCACAAAGCGGTAATAATACAACTCCTGGAAATACCATTAAAAAGGAAACCCAAGCTATCGCGGTACGTGAGGCTTACAGGTGACTTCAATATTGTCGCCCCTGTCAGGGTACGCACTACTAAATCCTTCACGAGCAAACGATTTAGATGTAAGTTCGTGAATGAACATACTGTCGCATGTAAGATTTGAGGTTTTCACGGCGGTGACTATGAAGAAAGCAGTCTTCCGGGATTTGGCACCGTGTATGTGGTTTTAAGCGACGTTTCGGAGGAACGTATCGCCTCCATTGTCAGGGTAGAAGGAAAAATATAAGAAATCCGCAAGCGAAGAAACCGTGAGAACCGGTAAAAGCAGAGTGCAGTCTCTTCGCTTGCGGTTTCCTAAATATTTTTCCTTCTACCCTGAAGATGGAGGCGATACGTTCCTCCGAAACGTCGGTTAACACCACATATACACGGTGCCAAATACCAGAAGACTCCTTTCTTCATACTGTCGCATGTAGACGCGTTGCTAGGCAACGACCGCGAAAGTACCTATACAACAGTCGTTACTGAATAACGGCTTACGACACCAACTGAACTATAACAATGAGGAACGGCGTTTTCTGTGCGGTTCGTGCTGAAATGTTATAAGCAGGGCAGTTGTGTTTTCCCTAAGCTCGTTTGTTTTTTTTTTATTATTTTCTTAACGGGGTGAGACTGAGTGCACTTAGTATGTCGGCCACTAACTGGCCTACTGTACCAGCCCCAGATGATGATGATGATGATTGTTGAGCAATCGGTGGAATGAGAATTAGCAGGCGAAACCGAAGTACTCGGAGAAAACCTACCCCAGCGCCGCTTTGTAATCTCGGTTTACTCTTCTATCCTGAAGCTGGTTGAGGCATGTTCCTCCGAAATACTAATAATGGTTATACCAGGCGATGCAAGTAGCCGGGACAGCGTAGTCGGCATAGCGACTGGCAACGGGCTGGACGACCGAGGTGTTGGAGTTCGACTCACGAATTTTCTCTTCTTCACGTTTTCCAGACCGGCTTTGGGATCCACGCAACCTCCTAGCCAATGGGTCTCGGGGTGTGAAACTGACCACTCACTTCCAACTAGT